ATCTAAATCCTGGAAACGATGTTAGCAGCCTCAGGCCCTCAGCCAGGAATTTCGTTTAAGCCTTATCTCATAATCCCTTCCCTCACTCTCCCACAGCCTTCAATTCTTGAATCCTTCATTAAGCAAGTAATTGCTTTTCTCTCCAGAACCAGCTTACCCATCGCGAACCCTTACATGCAGGTCTGGGTGCTAAAATTTGGACAGGTTGGCCTGCCAGGTGAACAGAAGACCGAACCCTCCCGGCAGCTTCCTGGTAGGTCCCTGCATCACGTGGGACGCCCTACCTAGTAGGCAGCCTCAAGCCGCTCTTTACGCATGCGCTCCTTTCAGGCCGGGTCCAGAACACAGCGTAAATCCCGCCCTGCCCTTCTGCCTCTGCCCCCTGCTCAGGAGTCCTGCTTCCTACTTGGCGAGCTCTGGATGCGGATGTTAGCCGGCTTGGCCATGTGCTGCCACCCCCAAAGATAAAATAGATAATCCACAACGAGAGGGGGTGCCTCAAGGGAGGGATCCAAACCCTGTTCCGCCGCCTGGCCTTTAACCTATCCCGCCCAGACCCCCAACCCTCTGCTTGGAGCCAGCAGAGCCACGCCCCTGGCGCTTCTGGCTGGGCCAGCGACCGCCTGATCTCTCTGATCCTTTGTCGCCTCCCCACTCCCACCTCCTTGGGGAAGGCTCAGGTGCCTTAAGCCGCCTCGTCAGTACCTTCCTCTCCACCTCCCTCTCCTCGGCTCGCTCCCGAGCCTCTCGGCAAAGTGGACGCGGGCGGAGTGCCCAAAGCCCCGCGACTGCTGGGGCGCTTAGTGGCAGCAGCCCTGTTACCGTCCAGATGGCGCGCAGGGCTGAGCCCCCCGACGGGGGCTGGGGATGGATGGTGGTGCTCTCAGCGTTCTTCCAGTCTGCGCTGGTGTTTGGGGTGCTTCGCTCCTTTGGCGTCTTCTTCGTGGAGTTTGTGGCGGCGTTCGAGGAACAGGCAGCGCGCGTCTCCTGGATCGTCTCCATAGGAATTGCTGTGCAGCAGTTTGGGAGTGAGTGTTGCGCCTGGATCTGGCATCCTGCGACCCTCAGAAAGGAGAGGGGATGCAGGGGCAGAAAAGGGAAAGGGCTGGAGGCGGGGTGCGTTAGGGGGTGATGACTGAGATCTTCTTGAAGAATCCCTTACACTTCCCCAGGCCCAGTAGGCAGTGCCCTGAGCACGAAGTTCGGGCCAAGGCCCGTGGTGATGACTGGAGGCATCTTGGCTGCGCTGGGGATGCTGCTTGCCTCCTTTGCTACCTCCTTGACCCACCTATACCTGAGTATTGGGCTGCTCTCAGGTGAGACCCTGGGCAAGAGCAGGAGAGTCAAATTCATAGATATTAGGCCTCTAGGCTTGCACCTTCTTCCTGCTCCTTCCAAAAGGCTTAGGAAGAAGCTGAGGGAAAATTTGGTTAGTACTTGTGCCCAGAGGGAATTAAGAGGGATGACTAAGTTGATAAACATGGTGAGGAATTGCAAAATTCAAAGATGTTGAAACCAGGTATACAAGCCTGGGGCTACCGGGACTGGAATTTAAAAGGAAGGATTACTGTAAAATTGTGCCAGGTACTGCGACTGTGAGATAGATATCATTATCCTAATTAAAGCTGAAGAAAGGCTTTTAAAAGTTATGTAACTTGGCAAATGATAGTCACACAGCTAGAAAGGGAAGAGCCCAGGTCTAATGCCAAAGTTCTGTGCTAGCTACTTCACAAATATTATTTCTAATCTTTCACAATCTTGAAAACCATATTACCTTGATTTTGCAGATGAGGAAATTGAGGCTGGGAAAGGTTACACAGCTAGAAAGTGTCAAAGCCAGGATTGTAACTCAGGTCTGTAGGACTGCAAAACAAGTGCTACATTCTGCTGCTGTTGGGCAATGTTGGGATTACTGGGCTCCCTAAGAATCCTCATCTCCCTTAAAAAAAAAATCATGTTAATATGAGGGTACATACAATTAGGTTACATTATTTGTGTTTGTAAAGTCCAAAGTCTGAGTTGTAGTTGAGTCCTTCACCCAGGAAGTGTGCCATATACCCCTATGTTCTACCCTATAGGTAGGAACTTACCAAGCTTCCCCTTCATTGAATTTAATTATAAATTCATTCAACAGCCTATGGTTGTTGATCTACTCTTTTCAGATTAGTACTGAGTACATGGGATGCTTGCTTTTCCATTCTTGAGATACTTTACTTAAGAGAATGTTTTCCAAATACATCCAGGTAAATACAAAAGATGTAAAGTCTCCATCTTTTTGTGACTGAATAGTATTCTATAGTCCCAACTCCATTTCTTTCTTATTGACAGGCTGTGGCTGGGCCTTGACCTTCGCACCAACCATGGCTTGTGTATCCTGTTACTTCTCTCGCCGACGATCCCTGGCCACCGGATTGGCACTGACAGGCGTGGGCCTCTCCTCCTTTGCATTTTCCCCCCTTTTCCAGTGGCTGCTCAGCTACTATGCCTGGCGTGGGGCCCTAATACTGGTGTCTGCCCTCTCCCTCCACCTGGTGGCCTGTGGTGCTCTCCTCCGCCCACTCTTCCTGGCAGATGATACTGCTGTGGGTGGTCCTGGGGCCCAACTCAACTCCCTCCTCCATCATGGCCCCTTTCTCCGTTACACTGTGGCCCTCACCCTGATCAACACTGGCTACTTTATTCCCTACATCCATCTGGTGGCCCATCTCCAGGACCTGGGTTGGGACCCGTTACCTGCTGCCTTCCTACTTTCAGTGGCTGCTATTTCTGATCTCGTGGGGCGTGTGGCCTCTGGGTGGCTGGGAGATGCAGTCCCAGGGCCTGTGGCACGGCTCCTGATGCTCTGGAACACCTTGACTGGGGTGTTTCTAGCCCTGTTCCCTGTAGCTCAGTCTTCCACAGCCTTGGTGGCTCTGGCTGTGGCCTACGGCTTCACATCAGGGGCCTTGACTCCAGTGGTCTTCTCTGTGCTACCTGAACTGGTAGGGACTGGAAGGATTTACTGTGGCCTGGGACTGTTGCAGATGATAGAGAGCCTCGGGGGGCTGCTGGGGGCTCCTCTGTCAGGTAAGGGGAATGGGGTTACCAGGTGGGCCAGGGCTTCCATGTTGCACAGGTGGGGGAGGGAACTCTTCCCATTAGAGAGTATGTGAAGATTGCTCTCTGGTATGGTACAATACACAGCCTGTATGGCTAATCATAGCAGCCCTCAAACAAGTCTATGGGGCAGAGAACTTGGGGCTGGGAAGGTCTGAGTGGAAAGACAAAGAAGAGCTAAGTAGATGGCAGGGTGCCTACAGCTTGGGTTTTCAGAGGACCTGGCAGGACCTGTCCAGACATAGTACCTTTCCTTTTCTTTGACTCACTGGGCCCCAGGCCATGTGTCTGAGCCTACTCAGACAGGCTCAGGTCAAAGTTCTGCAGTCTCAAGTTGCCAGAACCTTCAGACTTCTAACAGTTTTCTCTTACCCATTAACTGAAGGTGTAGAAGGCCACAGTTGTCAGAAAGAAAAGCACAGGTGCTTGACTCAATCTGGATCTCCAAATCCCTGTGGGCTTGTTTGGAGGACCTTTCTGAAGGCAGGGTGGTAGTTGAAATTACCATCTGAGGACTTTTAGGGAAACCAGAGTTCTCAAGTTCATCCAACCCTGCCTTGTGAGCTCCAACTCCTCCAAGATTATGGGTGTTCCCTTCACCAAAAAATGCAACTGAGCTGGCAGTCCCAGCAGACAGATCACCCATGTGTATTATTTTTCTCTCTTGAACCTAGGCTACCTCCGGGATGTGACGGGCAACTACACAGCTTCATTTGTGGTGGCTGGGGCCTTTCTTCTTGCAGGGAGTGGAGTTCTCATCACGCTGCCCCATTTCTTCTCCTGCTTTTCAGCTACTATATCCAGGCCCCAGGACCTTGTAACAGAGCCACTGGAGACCAAAGTCCCCCTGCCCAATGAGAAGCAGGAGGACTGAACTCCACAAGAGGCAGTCATGCACAGAAAGCCAGAGCTTGACAGCTCCAGGTCTTCTGCCCCATTTTGGCATCCATGGAACCACAGTGCCTTATGATTCTTAATCTGCCTTCCCCAGAGCAGGTCTGGGGCTCCTGCAATGTGTGTGCCAACCTTTTGTATTTTGTTGAGGTCCCTTATTTCTCCTCCTTTGCTCTCCCAACCTTTTCCAAAACATCTAGGAGTTCTGAAGGATCCAGAAATTCCTTTACTACTATGAAAATCAATGGCCAAGACATCACATTTTACCTACAGTCTCTAGTGTTGCCTCCTAAGTTTCTTCTCTGAAGACAGATGTTTGGGAAACAAGGATGTCCACTTGAGATAAAACTGAATAAGAAAATAATCATAACCTCAAAAAGAGCTGGGGCCTCTATGCTTGGGTTGGCTGGATGGTGTCATGACTGGGAGTGCAGGGGAGTTGTCCAGCGATTCTTGTGATCCTTGACTCTGTTCCCCGGGCCACAGTACCTCCTACCCACCCACTATTTACTCCCCTCTTTCCTAATCCCTATGACTTAGAAAAGTGGAAAGAATAGGGAGGACGTGGGGCATATATGGGAGAGAAAGAAGACTGATAAAGCTGAAGTCTGGGCCTAGAATTCTTGAATTTCCCTCAGGAAGAGGGAAGATTGAAACGCAGGAGTTACTCTGGAAAGTCTGTCTACTAATGTAAGGGAAAGGCGGATAGGGTAGATAGCCCCCCCAGAGCACCTCCCACTCCCAGCAACAAACTGAAATTGACTAGTACATGGCAATTTCTCAAAAATTACCTGTTATGGTAGGGACTTGGGTAAAGAGAAATGGATTGCCTGGATGGACAGATACCATTCCCCACCCTCAGTACCTACTGGGATCCTGTTCCTGTCAACCCACCATTTTTGATACTGCAGCAGAATGTTTTCAGGGTCCTAGATTGGCTAACCCTTGGAGCTGTCAGGAGAATTAGGTAAGAACTCTTTATTGGAGGAGAGGCTCAAACAAGCAAATGATCAACAAGAGGTGTCCAGAGTGGAGTGAGGGTCTCCTGGGGAGAGCAGGGCAATCTTGGGGACTGGGAGCAGCTCCCCCATCTCAGGAGGAGGAGTGGGTGGAGGTGAGGCTGGACGGCAGGAGGGTAGCGCTCTGGGCAGCCCCATGTAGATGAAACTGCCAGAGAGGATGAAGGAGCTGCACACCAGGAAAGAGGCGGTGAAGTCTCCTGTCTCATCCCTGAGGAAGCCTGAGAGGATGGGTGAAGGAATTTAGAGGTCTGGGACCCCAGGAGTAGAGGACAGCTGTAATCGGATCTGCTGGTTCAGGCCCTTACCTGACAAAGGGGGACCCAGGAGCCCCCCGAGGCTCATCAGCATCATCACCAGCCCGGTGGCCTGCACTACACCTCCGAGGCCCACCAGCCCCGGGAGCACGCCGAAAACCAGTGGGGCATAACTCCCGGCGCTCAGCCCGTAGGCCCCAGCCGCGGCCAGCAGGGGGACCCCCCAATCCCCTTCACTCCCCACTACAGGCACGAGTCCCACCGCCAGTAGCCCCAGCCCTGTCAGAGTTCCGAACACCGCCAGCAGACGCGGGAGGGGCACCCAGCCCTGGTCTGCCAGCCACCCGCACACCAGCCGGGCACACGCATCCCCCACCGCAGCCACGGCCACCACCAGGGCTGCCCCGTAGCCCCCCAGGCCCCGGTCTAAAGCGTGGGGAGCCAAGTGTACGTAGGGAACGAAGTACCCTCCCCCAATTAGGGCTGTGCCTAAAGCAAAGACGGAGAAGGCCCGACGTGTGAAGAGACCCAGGCCCAGGGCAGCTAAGGGGCCTCGGGGTGGGGTCAGGGGATCACCAGGGAGGGCCAGGGGTCGCAGCAAGGCTCCACAGGGGGTGAGGTGGAGGGTGATGGAGCCAAGGAGGAGTAGGGCGCCTCGCCAGCCGAAAGTATCAAGAAGGAGCTGCAAGGCGGGTGCCAGGAGCAGCGAGGAGGCCCCGTTACCCGTGAGCGCCAGCCCCACCGCCAAGACTCGACGGCGGGAGAAGTAACGGGAGAGAGTACCGAGGGCAGGCGCGAACACCAGGGCCCAGCCGGAGCCTGCAAATGAATAGGGCGGGATGAAGGCGGATACCGTGATGCCCCAGCATTCCCAGCCGGGCTCCCACAGGAGGACACTACCTCGTTCATGCCTTCAGCCCCCAACAAGCTCCACCTTCACCCCTGAAAAACCCAGGTGTCCCACTCCCCTCACCTGCAAGGAGGCCCAGGCCGAGGTAGAGGTGCACCAGACTGCGGGCGAAAGCCGAGAAGACGAAGCCCAAGGAGGTAAGGACGCCCCCAACCATCACCACGGGGCGCGCCCCCCAGCGTGTACTCAGGGCGCTGCCCACTGGGCCTAGGAGGGGGCGGAGTCAACGGAAGACACGCCCCCGTACCCCCACCCTCTAACATATCTCAATGACTGCTTGCCTGGCCTACAACTCCTCCCCCGGACTGATAGTTCCTTTCATCTCAAGATCCAGTGTTTTCTAGAACTTGGTTCCACAGGTCGCCCTTTCTCAGGTGGTCTGGTAATCAGGTGGGTCTCCCACCACCGCTCTGAAGGCCTCTCCACCCCGTTCCCGCCTCCCGCCTGGGGGCCCCCCTCACTGGCTGCCTGTTGCACTGCCAGGGCCAGGGCGCTGACCCACGCAGTGTCCTGGGCGCTTCGGTCAAAGTGCTCCGCAAGGTCAGGGAGGGCAAGGCCCAAGGAGCGTAACAGCCCGTAGGAGAGTCCGTTCACCGCGAAGGCTGCGGCTGCCACCACCCAGCCCCAGCCCCCATCCGGGGGTCCGGCGGGCTTGGGGATCATCGTCGTCTGGCTGGGGTGGAGAAACACCTGTGAGTGAAGGCTCCACGTCGTTGCCTCTGATAGGGAGATGGCATCCCTGAGATTCAGCCTGTAGCTGCTTGCCCTGGGTGGGCACATCACCCCCAGCACTATATGCCAGGGCAGAGGGAGCGGGAACCAGGCCTAGAGATAGAACTCCTGGGTCCGTGGGAGGTACTGGGACCGAGGACAGCCTGATCCCCTCGGCCGGGGGCTCCCCCTCCCGCACACACACTCCTTCCCCCTTACCCGACCTCTCCGGGCGGTGGGGGGAAAGGGAAAGGCGAGAAATGGTTCGGCCGGGTTTTCGCCCCGCTTCCAAGCGGGCGGGGCCCGGGAGGGAAGCAAGTGCTGAGATGGAGCCCAACTTGGAGGATCTCTCTCCGTAAACAGATCACCACAGGGGCCGGAGCCACCTGGGACTCGGGGGATATGGAGGGCGGGGGAGAGCTGAGGCAGTCAGCCAATCCGCGGAGCTGCGGGTGAGGCCAGACGCAAGTCCCACGGGGATTGAATTATATACAGACACACAACACACACACACACAATCTCCAGCCTCTAGGAAGGGAACGGCGGGGAGCGAATGCTGCAGGGCCCAGCTGGTCTCGTACCCACGCACCTTCCGCCTGCTCTGCGCAGAAGAGAGAGACTCGTGGATTGCAATCCCCAACAAGCCCTGTGTCCTCTGCCAACAACTGGAAACAGGGGCAGTCCCCAAAGCCTGAGGGGATGAGTAGTTTTATTCTCAGGAACGTTGCTGAGGATCAGGTAAATCTTGGATATCAAATCACAGATCTCCACTGAGGCCTGCTTGGTGCTAAGCAATAGCATGCCCTCATAGAGGGAGAGAAGAAACAGAACTCTCTTAATATGAAGAACTATGGTGTTTCAGGGTCTCTGCATGTTATCGTTTTGTCCTTACAATAACCCTATGAAGAAGGTGTCATCCGCATTATGTAGATGCAGTAACTGAAGCTCAGGGAAAAAAATAGTGGAAATATTTGAATTAAGGTCTATCTAACCGCAAGTCTTACAAGAAGAACAATCCTAGGCCTGAAATAGAACCTGCCACAATTGAGGGAAATGTCCTGGAGACTGATGCAAATTTTCCCTGGATAGGGCAGAACCTTTACAGAGCCAGAGAGCTTATGATTCTAAAATAAGGATCACTAGGAATAGTAAGGTTCCTTGAGATCAGACTCTCTAAAGACTTTAGGTTAGAATTTTAAAAGTAAAGTAAGAAACCAGAGAATTGGACCCAGGTATTGATTTCTTGAAAACCTTTAGAGAAACTATCCCCCCCGCCCCCCCATCCCTCCCTCCCCCCACTCTTCCCCCGCCCCCCCATACACTACTTTACCTCAGCTGTTTGAATCCAGAAAAGTGTTCTTTGGTTTAATTATTAAACAACATCATAGAAAATTCAGCAATTTACAGTTTGGAGCATGCATAGGGTGACAGCCACATGATGGCAGTGTTTCCTAATTGTTGAGAAGAAAAGATTTACAGTTTAAGAAGTGAAGTTGTAAATCTAAAAAACACAGTATGACCTTCAGTGGCTTTCTATTGGTAGTAAGGGGAAAGATCAAATTTCTCTACTTTGTGTTTAAGGCCTTTCATAATAATCAGAGATAAACCCAGGCAACTTTTCTACTCCATCTCCCTCCCTCCCTCTTGCACCCTCCCAGCAGCCATTAGCTTCTCACCTGCTCAATGGATGTGTCTAGCTTTGTTTTACTCCTGGATTTTTGCATATGTCATGCTTTCTGCTTGAAATATACTGACTGGGCTACAGGAATCCACAAAGACTTAAAGTCCTGCCGATGCTGTGATTTGCACCTGTAGTCCCAGATACTCAGGAGGGTGAAACAGGAGGATTGCTTGAACCTAAGAATTGGAATCCAGCCTGGCAATAGCAAGGCCCCCGTGTTTTGTTTTGTTTTGTTTTGTTTTTAATATAGGTATGTATATCCTGACACTTACACCTTAGGAAAGTAGCCCCACCTTAGGAAAGTTGCCACACCGGTTTTCCCAGCCTGGAGTGCTCTTGTGAAAAGCTGCCAGGGAGGTGGAGTCAGCAGGCCCTTGGCGACCTGGAGAGCCAGCTGGGAGAGCAGGAAACAGTCTTCCTAAGAAGGCTGTTGAGGACTCTGCTCCAAGTTGAACAAGACTAACTTCTGGGTCTGGGAGTTGTACTAAGTGATACTGAGCACTTTTGCAGAATACTTATGAACCGAGAAGGGCATTCGTTACAGAGCCTGGAAACTTGGGTGATTGTTTGTGAGACTCTTTTCTACTTCTTCTTCCCTATATTCTTTTCCAAAATTGCTCATGGAGCAATAGCATAGAGAATGGGAGAATGGACTTCCAAGCTACATGATTGTGAATAAGTTACTCACCTCTCTGTGCCTCAGTTTCCTCTTTTTTTTTTTTTGAGACAGAGTCTCATTTTGTTGCCCTGGGTAGAGTGCCATGGCATCATAGCTCACAGCAATCTCAAACTCTTGGGCACAAGTGATTCTCTTTCCTCAGCCTCCCAAGTAGCTGGGACTATAGGCACCTGCCACAATGCCCAGCTATTTTTAAAGACAGGGTCTCACTCTGGCCTACACTAGTCTTGAACCTGTGAACTCAGGCAATCCACCCACTTTGGCCTCCCAGAGTGCTAGGATTACAAGTGTGAGCCACCACTCCAGGTCCAGTTTTCTCATTTTTCTTTTCTTTTCTTTTCTTTTTTTTGAGACAGAGCCTCAAGCTATCCTCCTGGGTAGAGTGCTATGGCATCACAGCTCACAGCAACCTCCAACTCCTGGGCTCAAGCGAGTCTCCTGCCTCAGCCTCCCAAGTAGCTGGGACCACAGACGCCCGCCACAGCACCCGGCTATTCTTTGGTTGCAGCAGTCATTGTTGTTTTGGCGGGCCGGGCTGGATTCTAACCTGCCACCTTAGGTGTATGTGGCTGGTGCCTTAGCCACTTGAGCCACAGGCGCTGCGCCAGTTTTCTCATTTTTCTAATGGGAGTAATAATAGTAGCTACCTGATGGATTGTTGTGAGAATTAAATGAGTCACTGTGTTTACATGTTTACATGCCCGAATATGATATATTAGGCCTCATTGCTGCCATTGTGACTGCTAGACCATACAGTCCTGCCACCTCTCCCCAACCTAGCTACTTCTACTAGCACCTCAAGTTCAAGGAACCACCTTGGTCTGGAGAGTTCCCAGTAGAACCACAAGGGTTATAAAATGTGAATGGCTATAAAGAAATTAAATGGAAGTTGGTTTTTTTTCTTGTGGTGAGTGGTTTCTTAGCATTTTCCAAAGTTCATGAGAAAATGCTAGTCTCCCTATCTTGACTCTGAAAACAAGAAAGAAGAAAGGAGTCAAAATAAGTTTTATCCATTCAATCCTGTGTATAAAACATTTATAAGATATTTACCATGCCAAGTGCAATGCTGAGGGGTAGGGATGGAAATATGAATAAGATACAGTCTCCCTCCTCTTGGCTCCACCATCAAATCAGAGGAACAGTCATATAAAGAAATCTCAGCACAAGGAGAGGGACGGATATACCACAGAGTGGTGCATGGTAGGAACTGACTCATTTTGCTCAGACCTGCTAGGAAGCTTCACAGAAGAGGAGCCCCTTAAGCTGGGTCTTGAAGGATGAGTAGGAGTTTGCCATATGGATATGTGGGCAAGGGCATTCCAGGCAAAGGGAGCAACTTTTAGAAAAACACAAAGGCCTTGAACCAGCTTGGCACATTGTTTATTATTTGGAAAGCTATAAATAGCCACTGTGTAAGAGTGTGTAGAAGAATAATACAGGATGAAGTTGCAAGGCCAGAGGGTTCCTTCTGAAAGACTTCGAAGGCCAGGCTAAGGAATTTAGATGTTTTCCCAGGGACCGATGTTTTTCAAAAATTTCCACTGAAGTAGCATTTACTAATACTCGAAGTTGAACAAAGAGGAGAGAGGACTCATCCTGCAGTCAGAGAGCTAAGGAGAGTATGGGTTATGGGCCTTTTGCAAGTAGGACATATCCTGCTTTATGTTGAAAGTTCATGTGGAACTTTCTATGCTACTTGTTATAATAATGTTTGATGCATCTTTTCATAGGAAAATATATATGTCTTTTGAGACAGAGTCTCACTTTGTCACCTTGCCAGCATGGTATCATCATAGCTCACAGCAACCTCAAACTTTTGGGCTCAAACAATCATCTTGCCTCAGCTTCCCAAGTAACTGAGATTACAGGCCCCTGCCATGACACCTGGCTAGTTTTTCTACTTTTAGTAGAGATGGGGCCTTGCTTCTTGCTCAGGCTGGTGTTCAGGCAATCTACCCACCTCAGCCTACTAGAATGCTGAGATTACAAGTGTGAGCCACCATACCTGGCCTGGAAAATCATTTTTTAAATACATTATTTAACTTTTCTCACTTAAGTCTTCAAGAAAAAAGATAATTCTCCAGAAAGGTGTACATTTTCATTCCAAAATTTTGTTTTCCCTGACACATTGCCACTAGAAGTAATGGGGAGCCACTGACAGCACAGGAAGGCTTCCTCTAGCAAGTCGCCCCAACCATACCATGTCCTAATCTGCGTATGTTAACACCCATCGGAACACCTCTCAGCCTGCAATGAAATCTTCCATTTCCATCTTCTGAGATTCACTCCCCATGTTGCCCTTATACTAATGAGACCTTGGAGATGGGACCTTGAATTATAGATCTCTGGCTCTTTCACACCCCAAAATGCCAAAGGTGAGTGATGGAAGCACTGAATGAGAGAAACAGTAAACAACAGAATCATTGAATGAGTGGACTTGGTTCCTGATACTCCCCAGATTGTAGCATTATTACAAGAGGGAGTCACTGATGGACCAAACTAATAGCACCCACCAATGTGGAGAAAGCCCCAGAAACAGATCCTGAGCCAGAGTGTCCTTATCATAGAGAGATAATAGAGAGAGATCATAGAGAGGGTCAAGCACTGTACATCATTTGCTTTGGCGACCACGGGGTCTAGGAGTGTGTCTGTGTCTGTGAACACAA